ATATATTAAATAAATAAATAAATAAATAAATAAATAAATAAATAAATAAATAAATAAATAAAATATTTAGAGAGTGGAAATTCCCCCTTCTCCCCCCCCGAAAAAGAATACCAAATTCTGGAGAGATCGGGTAGGGGAAAATACAAGGCAAAAAATGAAAATCCTTGCTCTTCCAATACCCACCAAATTTTCATCTCTATTCCTCATGCCTTCTATTACTAAAACAATACAATTTCTTTCCAATTTAATGTGAAGTTTCACAAACTTCTTACCCATTCAGAAACAAGCACTTTTAGCCTAACTGACTTTCAATCCTTGTCCTTTTAACAATGGAAAGGACCATACTCTAACTCTGTATAAGAGAACCAAAAGTCCTTAGATTTGCAAACACATTCCATAACTTCTTGCAACACAGCTGTTTGATGCTATTCCTTTCTAAATCTTCATTGTGTAATAAATAAGGCTTTGGGTGGCACCTCCCTTTTATCCCAGCGGAATAGATTTGCTGAGGAAGCCACCACCTGAGAACTGCAAAAAGGAAAGAAAGGACTTAGCTTTGGGAGCCACTAGCCCTTTCTCAAAGAGAATTTTAAATCTCCTTCAGGAGCATAGGTCCAGCTTTCTCTTTCAGCATCAACCACAGCAGCAGGGGCCCAGTCCTCCTCAGGCAGTGCCTGCTTTATCTGTGTTTGGTGGATCCAAGAGCTTTAGAGAAGAGTGTTTTGTCATCAGGATGCAATAGGGACCAGACTACTACTCAACTAACTACTGCTGAGGACTTGAGCCTTCCAGGCCATTAGTAAGATGTGATGTCCCAGCTGGAATGGGAATAGGGGCTCATCAGATGGATAGACAAACCTGCACTGAGCAAACTTGTGCAAATCATTTATGCTTGACCTAAATGTTGTACATATTTAATTTTTGACTCATACTCCAAATCTAAAGGGGGTATTTCTAAAACAGAGATTTGGAAGGGTCTCCCATAAACTATTTCAGAAGGGCTTAATTTAAGCCCACTTTAGGTTGCTAGTCTAATTAGAAGCAAGGCAATATAGAGTGCCTGGTCCTATTTAAAATGCATTTCCTGGCATATTTTCCTCAGGATCTTCTTTGTTATATAATTAATTTTCTCAGTCTTTCCCATAGACTGAGGTCTTCAAGATGCATTTAGTTCCTGTTGATTTGGTACTGCCTGTCAAATCTTCTGGGAGATCTCTGAAGTGAGTGGTGGTCCACTGCCACTTTGAATACTGTGAGTATGTCAAACCCAGCTTGTTCTTGGCCATTTTCCATAAAGATGCTCCGGCCTCTATATAACTCCCCATTACGTACTGTCAATGGCTGGTCCAAGCAATCATGCTGGGAAGCTCAGTCTCCCTTTTGTCCAGGAAGCCATGTGGCCAGGTGGTGGGCACCAGCCCCCAAGGCTGGCATGATGGAGCCCCTGCATGGATGGCCATAGCAGTTGGGAGCGGCCTTGGGCCCCCCACGGGGGAAGCTGCAGTGGCAGCATGGAAGTGCTGGCCTCACCTGCAGAGTCTAGGAAGGAGCCTGAGCCCCAGCCGTGGCAGGGAAAGAAGCTGAGCTGCTTGGATGATCATGCAGCAGCCACCTGCAGTTCCCAAAGGGTAGTATTTTGAATGGAAGAAGAACTCAGGGCACATCCTTGGACTGGCCTGGCCAGGGGTGGCCGTGTTTTCCCCTGGGTGCTCTGGAGAGGATGGGCTTTGAGGCAGGAAACTGCCATCCTCCCAGACTGTGTAGCTTTTGAAAAAAGGCCTCTTTCCTTTTCTTACCAAACCTCTGCCTCTGGAATTTGCCCATGGGTGATGGCAGACAGCCGAACTCCAACTTCTGTTTGGTAACAATACCACAGAAACAGAAAGGATCTTAAGAGAATACAATAAATAATTATATGCAATCATTTTGTATTACCTAGAAGAACTGGATCAATTCCTAGAAACATAAAAGTTACAAAAACTGAATTATGAAGAAATAGAAAATCCAAACATACCAGTAATAAGAAGATTAAATTAGTAATTAAAAAATCTCCCAATATTTCCCAACTCATTCTCTGAGCCTCTGATACCGAAACCAGACAAAAGCAATATAAAAAAAGAAAATTATCTCAATCATTAGAGATACAGACACAAACAATTCTCAGCAAAATACTAGAAAATGAATCCCTATAAAAGGGTAACATAGTATGACCACATGAAATTTATCCCCGAGATGCAAGGTCAGTTCAACATTCAAAAATCAAGTAAGTTAATACACCATATTAATAGAATAAAGGACAAAACAAAATGACTCAATTATCTCAATAAATTTCAAAAAGGCATTGGACAAAATCTAATACCCTTTTTATAATAAACACACTCAACAAACTAGAAATAAAAAAAGTTTTCTCAGTATGATAAAAGGCATTTATGAAAATACACTGCTAACATCTAAGACCCAGAGTACCTCAAAGATATTCTCTCTCATTATTTATAGACAACATTGTACTGGACATTCTAAACAAAATAAAGGCACCCATGTCAGAATGGATGAAGTATAACTATTTCCATGTGCAAATGACAATATCTTGCATATAGAAAATCCTAAGGAATACACACACACACACACACACACACACACACACACACCTACTAGAACCAATAAACAAATTTATCAAGATTGTAGACTACAAGAGAAATATACAAAACCAGTTAAATTTACATATAATAAAAGTGAACAATTTAAAAATCAATCAAAGAAAACAACTTTTCTCACTATATACAAAAATTTACTCAAAGAATCATAGGCACAAATGGAAGAGCTAAAGCTATAAAACTCCTAGAAAAAAATAAAGGTATAAATCTTTGTGACCTTGGACTAGGCAATAATATCTTAGATAAGATGCCAAAAGCGCAAGCAGCAAAAGAAAATACAAATAAATGGAATTTCATCAAAATTTTAAACTTTCATATTTCAAAGAACCATCAAGAAAATAAAAAGATTACCCACAGAATGAAAGAAGATATTTACAAATCATTTATCTGATAAGGGGCTAATTTCCAGAGTATCTAAACAACTCTTACAACATAACAATAAAAAAGATAAATAACTCAACTTTTTAAATGCGAAAAGCATTTTAACAGACATTTCCTCAGAGAAGATATACATACAAATGGCCAATAAACACATGAAAAGGAGTTCAACACTATTAGTCACTAAGAAAATAAAAATCAAAACCACATTATGATGGCTATAATAAAAAGAAAGACAATAAAAAAGTGTTGACAAGAATGTGGAGAAATTGAAACTTTCATACATTGCTGGCAGGAATATAATATGGTGCAGCCACTTTGGAAAACAGTTTGGCAGCATCTCAAAAAGTTAAAGATAGAGTTGCCAAAGGAGAAGTTCCACTCCGATGTATGTACCCTAGAGAAATGAAAAAGTATGTTCACACAAAAACTCGGACACAAACTTTTATAGCAACATTATCCATAGTAGCCAAAAAATGTAACCAACCGCATACCCAGAGCTGATGGATGGATAAATATCATGTGGTATATCCATACAATGGAATAATATTCAGCTATAGTAAGGACTTCATTAATAAAAAAACAAAATACTTATAAATGCTACAACATGGATAAACCTTGAAACCATTATGCCGGCCACAAAAGACCACATATTATGTGACCCCATTTATACGAAATGTTCAAAATAAGCAAATCCATAGAGACAGGAAGTGGTTGCCAGGAGCTGGGAGGAGGGGAGAATGAGGAGTGTTTGCTAATGAGCCTGGGAATTTGGGGGGCAGATAAAAATTTATGAAATTAAGTGATGGCTGCACAGCTTTGTGAATGCACTAAAAACCATTGACTTGTTCACTTAAAAAGTAAATTTTATAGCATATGGATTATATGTCAATAAAAAGAAGACCTAGGTAATCTGAATGAATTTACATCTACCAAAATTTATATTTTATAGTTAAAACTTTTCAACAAAGAAAAATTTCAGGCCCAAATGGCTTCACTAGTAAATTATAGCAAGTAATTAAGAATGAGGTAATCCTAATCTCCAAAAACTTTAAGAAGACATAGAAGGGAATATTTCCCAACAGATTTTATGAGGCCAGTGTTACTGTGATACCAAAACCAGACAAAGACATTACAAGGGGAAAAAAACTCTAACAAATATAGACAAAGGATCAGCACACCAAGGCCTGTGGGCTAAAGCCAGCAGCCAATCTGTTTATCAAAATAATGTTTTGTTAAAACACAGCCACAGCCTTTTATTTACGTATTGTCTATTGCTGCTTTCATTCAGACTTGAGTAGTTATGGCACAAATCATATGGTCCACAAAACTTCAAATACAGGGTGGGGCAAAAGTAGGTTTACAGTTGTTTGGATGGAAAATAATGTAATAATTCATAAATAATAGTATAAGAATAAACTCTGTGTTTCTTATACTCATAACAGTAAACCTACTTTTGCCCCACCCTATATTTACTACCTGACTCTTTACAGAAAAAAATTTGTTGATCCCTGCTATAGACTAATAGGTCTCAGGAAGACAGTTGCAAATCAACCAAGAAATATATAAAATAGATAAGACATCAAGATCGAGTGGAATTTATCCCAATAATGCAATGTTGGTTTACAAAAAAATATCAGTCAATGTAGTGTAACATATTAATAGAATGAAGGTTAAAAACGACATGGTCATCTCAATAGTTGCAGGAAAAAAAGCCTTTAATGAAATTCAACATCCTTTCATGATAAAAATACTTTTCAGCAAACTAAAAATAGAAGGGAAAGTTTCCCATCCCACATGTAGGAAGTTTTTAAGTCACCACCCTGTCCTGACAACAAGTAAGAGGCTGAACAAACTGAAAATCAACAACTCTTCTTAGACCCATCAGAGAAGTTAGGTCACAGGGAAAACTGCTGCACCCAAAGCTGTGGACATCAACATAATTAGTCACGGAGAATTACAACTTACCAGGACAGAAACCCACGAGCAGAAACCAGGGGGACCAGTGCCAGGGTAGGCAAACCTGACAAATTGCTGGAGGCTCAGTGTGGACAAGTTTGAGAGATGAAAATTCCAGAGGGACCAGTTATAAGGTGACCCCTCCACCCAACACACACACACACACACACACACACACACACACACACACACACACACACATACAGTTTTGTGAGTTTGTGAATTTACCTCCTGGAGCTCTACCAGATTCTCACAATGAATATCAAAAAAATCCCTTCATACTTTTGGCACTGGGGAGGGGAAAATAAACCATTATGTAATATGCCAGAGCATTCTGTTCTTCTTAATAAAGCCCTCCCTCAGGAGAAACTATCCAACCAGAGCCTAACTCATTGGGTTTTATCAGAACCTAACTAACTTGAGGGAAGAGAAATACTCAGTTCCAGCCTAATCGAGCCATCTTGTTCCACCCAAGGGAGAAAAAATAACTGAGAAACACTGGTGAATTTCACAGTCCAGAGGCATCATTGCACTAAAAGACTGAGACCTAATTATAGGACTGTAGAATGCTCTCCCCACGCACTACATCACTGGAGGCCTATTTACAGCCATTCCTTTCACCCAGTACATCATGTCCAGCTATCAAGGAAAAAACTACAAGCCATACTAAAAGGTAAAAAAAAAAAAAACACCATCTAAAAAGAAAGAGTAAGCATCAGAACCAGACAAGGCAGGGATGATGGAATTATCAGATTAGGAATTTAAAACATGACCAATGTGCTAATGTCTCTATGGATAAAGTAGACATCATGCAAGAACAATGTAAGCAGAGAGATGGAAATTCTTAAGGAGAAATGCTAGAGATTAAAAAGCACTGTAACAGAAATGAAGAATGCCTTTGATGGACTTATTAGTAGATTGAACACAGTTAGGAAAAGAATCTTTGAGCTTGAGGATACCTCCATAGGGACCTCCCAAACTGAAAAGTAAAGAGAAAAAAGACCCGAAAGAAAAAAATAGAACATCTAAGGACTGTAAGACAGCTACAAAAGGTGTGACATATGCGTCAGGTAATACCAGAAAGAGAAGAGAGAAGGGGTAACAGAAGACATATTGAAACAATAAAGACTGAGAATTTCCCCAAACTAAATTCAGATGCCAAATACAGATCCAGGAAGCTCAGAGAACATCAAGCAGGAGGCATATCATATTCAAACTACAGAAAATAAAAAGATAAAGAAAAATCCTGAAAGTAGCCAAGGGTAAAAAAACAACTTACCTATAAAAGATCAAAAATGAGAATTACATCTGACTCCTCAAAATCTTTGCAAGTAAAAAGAGAGTGAAAGAGGGGAAAGTTTTGAGAGAAAAAAAAAACCACCAACCTAGAATTTTGTACCTTATGAGATTATCCTTAAAAAGTGAAGGAGCCCTGGCTGGTGTAGCTCAGTGGATTGAGCACAGGTCTGTGAACCAAAGGATTGTGGTTTGATTCCCAGTCAGGGCACATGCCTGGGTTGCAGGCCAGGTCCCCAGTTGGGGCCTCATGAGAGGTAACCACACATTGATGTTTCTCTCCCTCTCCTTTCCTTCCCCTCTAAAGATAAATAAATAAAATCTTTAAAAAAAAACACCCTCTATTCAATCAGAGAGACAGGGTGGAATGCTTTTACTCCACTTTATCCAGAACCAGAACACAAAGGCTTCTTTGGACATTTGAAAGAATTACTCACTAGCAGATCTTCATCTCAAAAATGTTAAAGGAAGTCCTTCAGACAGAAGAAAAGTGATACCAGATGCAAATGTAGATGGACCTAGAGAAATGAACAGATATGGTATGTGGATAAACACAAAAGACTTTTTCTTATTTTAAAAATCTCTTCCAAAGATAATTGACCAACTAAGGCAAAAACAATGACAATGTTTTCTGGAGTTCATAACATGTAGGAGCAAAATATATGACGACAAGACACGAAGGCCTGAAAGAGGAAAATAGAAGTACAGTGTTGAAGTTTTTATTCTGTATTTTATTTTCTTTTTTTAAAGATTTTATTTATTTATTTTTAGACAGAGGGGAAGAGTGGGAGAAAGAGGGAGAGAAACATCAGTGTATGGTTGCCTCTCACGCGCTCTCGACTGGGGACTTGGCATGTGCCCTGACCAGGAATCAAACCAGTGACCCTCTGGTTCACAGGCCAGCATACAATCCACAGAGGCACACCAGCCAGGGCTTTATACTGTGTTTGAAATGGCATAGTGCTACTTGAAGGTAGACTGGTAAGTTCAAGATGTATACCATAAGCCATAAAGCAATCACTAAACAATAAAATACTGAGTTATAACTAAAAAACTGATGAATAAATTAGGATCGTAAAAAGTCTTTAATTAATGTATTTAAAGGCCAAAACGAGGGAAAAGGAAAAGTAACAGGTGGGTCAAATAGAAAACAAATATCAGGATGGTGAATTTAAATCTCACCATATCCATATCAATAATCACATGAAGTGTAAATGCTTTACTGGGATGGGGACAAACCACGACCTGTAGGCCTAACCTTTTACTGTAGCAGGTTTGGACATGGCTCTCAAGCTAAGAATGGTTTGTACATTTAAATTATTTAAAAAGAAGAGAAAGAGAAAAGTATGTAACAAAGACCACATGTGGCCCACAAAGCCTAAAACATTTATTATCTTGTCCTTTACAGAAGACATTCTTCAATTGCTGGACTAAATGCTCAGTTGAAATTAAAATGAAGAGAGTTTCATATTGGATGAAAGACCCAGCCTTGGCTGGTGTGGCTCAGGGGATTGAGCGCCAGCCTGCCAACCAAAGGGTCACCAGTTCGGTTCCCAGTCAGGGCACATACCTGGATTGTAGGTCAGGTCCCTGGGGTGGGGGGCGGGGGAGGGGGCGGGGTACGAGAGGCAACCACACATTGATGTTTCTCTCCCTCTCTTATTCCTTTCCTTCCCCTCTTTCTAAAAATAAATAAATAAAATCTTTTTTAAAAGACCCAAGTATGCTGTCTACATAAATCAAAATAGCAAAAGAATATCACACATGTGATAATAGAAAAATATTATCTATATCTACCTATGTCCCTGCCTCCAGTTCCTAGCACAGAGCTCCTAAAATTCCTATAATTTTCTAAGTGATAAGAGCACTAGGAACATTTATTGTTTTAGTATTTGATCTTTGACCCTGGTTTTGACTTCCTGACAAAGAGTTCCCAAGGTCCCAAAGAATCTCCTGGGTGATATCAGTGTCTTTGGTTGTAATGAAGTGATACTTCTGGGGGCTGGTCACCAGAAAGACCAAGCCATGATTAGAAGCTTGAAATTTTCAGCCCCAACTCTCATTCTCCAGAGGAGAGAGGAGCTGGAAATGGAGTCAGTGATGGACTGTGCCTATGTGATAAAGCCTCCCTAAAAATTCCGATAGTATGAGGTTCGGAGAGCCTCTGGGTTGGTGAACGCATGGGGAGAACGGCTTTTCTGGAGAGAGAATGGAAGCTCCATGCTCCTTCCCACATACCTCGCTCTCCTCATCTCTTCCATCTGAACGTTCACTCATATCGTTTACTGTGTCCTTGTAAAATAAACTGGTAAACAGTAAATGTTCCCCTGAATTCTATAGTCACTCTAGCAAATTAATCACACACAAGGAGGGGATCATGAAACCTCAGATTTATAGCTGATTGGCCAGACGCATGGGTGACCACCTGAACTTGCAATTGGCATCTAAGAGAGGAATGGGAAAGTCCTGTAGTACTGAGTCCTTAACCTGTATGATGTGATACTATTCTGGGTACATAGTGTCAGGACTGAATTAAATTGTAGGACACCCAGGCGGTGTGGCAGAAAATTGCTTGATGGGAGAAAACAGCACATATCCAGTGTCAGAAGTGTCATGAGTGTCCTAACACTGTAAAAGTAAAGGAGAAACAGGAGAGAGGCACTGGATTTTTTATGTACTATATACATGTAAATTGTGTGTGCATATGTATGTATGTGTGTACATGTGTGTGCATGTACACATATACATGTATATATTTTTGCTCTGTTCAGAAGGTATCTAGCCCTGTAATATGAAAACTAGAAACATTTACTGAAGAAGATACAAGAAACATTGTACATAGGACAATGATGCCTTAGTCTCCTTCAAAGTAGGGATCTTGGGACCTCACACAGTTCTACCAATTGCCATTATCTGTCCCTTTGTGATTTCCAGAACCTCACTGACAGTCTGAAATCTCTTCCCTCTCAGAGGTAATTTTAGTTTGGGGAAAAGCCAGAAGTCACAAGGCAACAAGTCTGGGCTGTCAGGGGACTGAGTCACCTGGGTGATTTGATGTTTCACAGAAAAACTGCACAAGATGTGAGGCACGAGCAGGTGTGTTGTTGCGATGAAGCTACCAATCACCAGCTGCCCATGGCTGCAGCCTTCTGAATCATCCAAATAGTTTCCATGGAGGAATGTTCAAGCTTAATGTAAAATTTAATGCAGATTCGTTGCTCTACTCACTCAGTTATTTTGAATGCAATGGCCACACAGTACACATGCTCACTCAATGGCATCTGCCATCTACCACCCCCACTGACTAGTACAGTGACATCATCATTGTTCACACATGCACATTCCAGTCCACTCTCCTTGGCTGCCAAGTTACATCAATGTTGTGCAAACCTTTCTTATTATATTAACAATGGCTGGACTTTTTCCATATATATACACATATGTATACATAGTGGGATGGGCAAAAGTAGGTTAAATCATTACCTAAAAAATAAATCAGCCCTGGCTGGGTGGCTCAGTGAATTGAACACCAGCCTGAGAACCAAAAAGCTGTCAGTTTGATTCCCAGTCGGGGCAAATGCTTGGGTTGTGGGCCAGGTCCCCAGCCAAGGGCATGCAAGAGGCGATTGATCAATGTATCTATTTCTCACACATTGGTGTTCCTGTCCCTCTCTTTCTCCCTCCCTTGCTCTTGCTCTAAAAGTAAATAAATAAATCATAATAACAATAATAAAAAAGACAAATAATATAAATAAATACAATAATCAATAAATTATCATACAAGAATAAACGTTCACGTACTTACAACTGTGA